TACCCAAACTTCTACGATCACAGCACCCTTAAGAAATACCTAGTTTGTGTTACGCAAAATTTCGATTTAAACTCAACTCCAATTTTTCCAAAAAAAAAAAAAAAAGCAATACTCCAGAAAATTAAAAAAAAAAGTTTTAACAATATTGTTATTGATTATTGTTTATTAAAATTAATTTAAAAAAACTTTTTTTAATCAAAATAATATAAGATAACAATTTTTAATAATATATTTTTCAAATAGAATAAAAAATAATTTTCTCAATAACTGCATACATGTCATTTGGACCATTTGGTGGAACTCTTGAGATTGTCCCATGGAACCCTAAGATTCCGTGAAACACACTTTGGGAAACGCTGCTCTAGCAAGTCCGAGTGGCCAACGTCTGTAAATAATTCAGTGATAAAAAATATAAAATCAAGAGATTGCGCCGTTTATACTAGTACACGTCGAGTATATCATATCCCGGTGAGTTTAGTCAGTGACACGAGATGGCGCTATTCGACGAGTTTGTTTCGAAACCGTTATCTTGACAACAAAATGATCTTTAAAAACTTTAAGTTAAATAAACTATTGGTTTTATTGATTTATAAGTAAATTTTAAATTAAACTATTTGAATATTTCCATTTATAATTATTTCCGTTATCGTTATTATTGTTTTACGGTCATCCCTGATAACGTGGCTACTAATTTTTGAGAATAGCGATTATCTATAATAGGATCTCGAAAAAACTCACGTGTTGGGAGTAGTTAGCCTTAACATATGGTAATGCGGTATTTCATGTAATGGTAATTACCACGTGTAATGTAGGATCTGTTCACATATGTTAAGGTTGATCCTCCCTCACATAATTCATAAATGAATCATACAGAAAAAGCCATTTTCTGTGTGTTTGATGCGTTCAGCACGACAAACGAATATTTTTTGATTTTGATGCGCGTGTATTATTTTTCATAGTATTTATATTCAGTGCTTGATTTGGGGGGGGGGGACGGAGTCCCCCTTCTTTTTTAATTTTTGTTTAGCGTACCTCTTCTATTTGCCCCCACGGTAATGTGACGGTTAATTTTGTGTGGAACGCTCGTTTATCAAACATCCGATGAGTCCCCCTTCTATTTTTTTTCCAAATCAAGCACTGTTTATATTTTAAAAAGTGTAATGTCATTTGAATTTGAACGTTAAATGTCCATTAGTAAATTTACCCAGAGTGAAATCCTTGACCATAATTATGTCTAGGTAAATAATACTTCTAATCAACTTCATAGGAATTTTAAGGGGGGGGGGGCATCAAGAGAATAATTAGAGTACCTCATGTGTACCATGAATTAGTACGTTTATATTTGAAAAACGAAATTGTTTTCATAATTTTTCTTGAAAATTCATAACATAATTTATTTAATACTCAAACTAATTTTTTAAGATACACGACATTCATTTATATGATAATAATAACTTTATTTGGATACACGAAAACTATTTTAAAACCAATAAGTTAAGTGTTATTTGATCACAGATATGTAGTTTTTATTGACAATGGTTTTAACACAATTTAAATTTTCTTTAATGAAGTTTTTGGTAAAAATATTTTTGAAACAAGATTCTAGTTAAAAAAATCAATTATTGATAACTGTTCGATTTTGAGTGAGCGCGATATGATTGCGCGTGGTCCCTATCGGTGGTACCTTTTTAGACGTACGATTGCACGCGCTATAATTTATTACTTTTAAGAAACGTTGCCAACTAGGTACTTATAATGATTTGATTAATGCAGTTGAAGCTATTGTGAGTGAAAAAAAAAATCACTCAATCAGGTAAATAAGGAAACAGGAATACCTAAAGCTATACTTAATACCAAAGTAAATAATAAAGTTCTTTTAGAGCGTAAAATGGAACCACCATCTGTGTTATCAGTTGACAAAGAAAGTCAAATTTTAAATTGGATATTGTCGAATACTAATGTTGACTTTCCAGTTCACCCAGAACAATTAAAAGATTTAGTACAAAGTGTTTCAAAAGAATCTCCAAAACAAAATCCTTTTATTAATAATCGGCCAGGCATTAAATGGTTTAATTTATTCTTGAAAAGATATTCAGAAATTAAAAAAAGAAATGCTGAAATTATATCTAAAGCAGGAGCTAAAGTAACGGAGAGTTCTATTCGGTATTGGTTTAGTGATGTAAAATTATACTTAAAGGAAGAAGGTAGCTTAGATATACTCAATGATCCACGAAGGATTTTAAACTGTGATGAAACTGGCTTACAGTTATGTCCAAAATCTGACATTGTTTTAGGATCTAAGACAATGAGTAATTTTTATGAGGTAGCTAGAAGTGCAGAAAAAGAAAACATTACAGTCCTCTGCACTTATTCTCCAGATAGAAAATCATTACCTCCAATGATTATACACCCATACAAAAGGATTCCTTTGCACATTGCTCAATATTTGCCAAATTATTGGATGGTAGCTGCCACATTTTATAAATATGTTGCTAATATAGTTTATCCATGGTTAGTTAAAAACAAAATAGAATTTTCTGTCATTCTTTTTGTCGATGGTCATAAAAGCCATTTAAGCTTGGAACTTTCTAAATTTTGTTTTAATAAACAAATTCATTTGTATTGTTTGTTGCCAAATTCCACCCACATATTACAACCTTGTGATGTTTCCATATTCAAACCTTTAAAATTTTATTGGAAAAAAATTACCAAAGCACATAATTTAAATTCAAAAAGTCCAATCACAAAAAATAATTTTGGTATAATATTTAAAAAAGCTTTTGATAAAGTTAAACCAGAATCAGTCATTAATGAGTTTAGAACATGCGGACTATATTCTTTTAATCCTGATGCTGTGGACTATAATAAATGCATTCCTACAAGGATAGCTGAACTTCAACAACCAGAGGTCTCCTTCCCTATTCCAAATTCAAATGACTATCTTGTATGCAAAAATGTAATAAATTATATTTTAAGAGACAAAAAGTTGGAAGAATTTATAAGTAATAATACATAATTAGTCAAAATATGAAATGAATGAAATAGTAAAAGTGATGATAAAATTACCAGTTATAAAACTACTTCAGAATTTAATATTTTAGACATGCCAATTGAAATTGAAGGGTCAACTCTCATGTTAACTGAAAATGAACTTGAATTGTTAGGGATTGAAGTTTTAAATGAATAATTGCAGTTAACAAATTCAGAAAATTATATAATAAATTTAAATGTAGAAAATTTTAATTTGGACTTGATTGTGAAAAAAAATGTGTGCTCAAATATTTTTGGTCATATAATAAATAAATCAAAAACTTCTGAGACACAAGTTTCAAGTGTAGAAGATTCAAAACATTGTGATACAATTTGCAATGAAAATTATTAATCGAATATTTCTAGTACAGTAGAAAATTCAACAAATGTTTATATAACATTGATAAAGTTGATAGTGAAAATATTTATGAATTAGTAGAAAATACAGTAAAACTTTCTGGAGTCATAAAAATAAAGAAACTGTTCAAGATAATTATAGTAACAATTCAACTCAACACATTTGGGATAAACATTTTAAATGGTCTGAAGAAGAAAATAGTGATTTAAAAAATATAACTAAAATAATGCCTGTTCCTTATGCTATAACCTCAATTAAATGGATGCAGATACAAAAAGAAAAAGAAGATAAAAAGTTGGATAAAAAAACTCTTATTTTAGAAAAAATAAATGCAAGGCTGATGAAAAAACATGAGACTGAAAATAAGAGAAAATCTAGAGAAATAAACAAAGTTCCTATCAAAAAACCCAAAGTTATTAATTCTAAGAATGTTCCTAATTTAGAAAAAACAATTTAGAAGCACAAAAAATCAGTAAAACCTTGAATGTTGATGATCATGTCATTGTGATTTATGAATATTCCTTAGGAATAATAAAATCTATAAAGAAATCACAATTCCAATATAAGGTAATAAATCCAATAGTATTAAAACCAATAACAATTTTTTTTTCATATTTATCTATTATTTTATAGGTTAAAGCATTGGCTATATCAGGAAGTTATTGGAAATGGCTAGAGTTGGATGGTTTGTGTTGGTTCAATAGAAATTAAATTATTGTCAAAATTGCAACCCCCAAATTTGTTGCAGATTTGTCAATCGATGAAATTACATATTCAGTTCCAGAATTAAAGTAATTAAACAAATTAATGTTTCTATTGTTTAAGATAAAACTTAATATTTTAAGTAAATATCCAGTCATAATATAGGTAGTATTGTCATTATTAAACTATAATATTTTTATTTTTTTTTATAAGGATCATGTAGGAAAGTTACCTATCTATTAAAAAGAAAATTTTGTTGATTTTGTTAATAACTATTTTTAGTATTTACTAATGTTCAACTGTTTAAATATTTATAATTTTAATTTTAAATACTACAGTATTCAGTTGTTATATTTTCATGTTATTCTATGTGGAACAATTTCTAGCAAACAGAAAAACAGCTTATAAGGCAGGAGATATCAATAATTATCAGTCACATGAACCAAGAAGAACGTCAAAAAAAAATTCAAATATCAAAATATATGATAAAAAAACCACTTCTTCTAAAATCCAAAGAAAAAGGTTTTGGCAAATGTCCTCTATGTATTGAGCATTATAAACTGTACGATTGCAATAAATTTAACAACATGAGCATAAATGATAAGAGGAACTTTGTGATGAAATCAAGGCTTTGTTTCAACTGTTTTAACTTTGGCCATCAAGTTCCTTCTTGTTTCTTTCCTCCATGTCCTCGTTTTGGGGAAAAACACAATTCAAAACTTCATGAGGAACAAACAAATATTAGTAATACAGATGCTCTGAAAATGTAAATGTCCTTTTAGCCACTGCCATTGTCAATGTATGTGACACTTTTGGGCGCGTACATTCTTGCCGAGCTGTCCTGGACTCTGGTTCTCAATTAAATTTTATTACCAATTCCTGCACTAAAAGACTTAACTTGTCTACTGATATGCATACACTTAATATTGTTGGAGTCTCTGCTATGGCATCAACAGCCAAACAATTTCAAGAAACGGTTATGTTCTCACGCTTTGGTGATTTTAAGACAAATGTCAAGTTTTACTCCCTGCAGATTATAGTCAGTGCCTTGCCTTCTCAAATTCTCATTCGGGGCAACTTGAAAATGCCCCATAACATGCAAAACCAGTTAGCGAATCCAAATTTTCACATTCCTAGTCCTATAGATGTATTGTTGGGTGCTGATAAATTTTTTGATATACTTTATGGTGAAAAGTATCCATTATTAAATCTAGCCAGCTTGATTCGTACCATGTTAGGATGGATAGTAACAGACAAAATCTCGATTGTGTCAACATCTAATACATTACCAAACTTTATGATCCATAATCAATCTGCATTATCGTTCTTCAAGTCAAAGCCCAATCAACGCTTTCTTGAAGAGTTCAAAGCCGAAGAGCATTTTCAATCAACATTCAGTCGTAATTACAGTGGTAGGTTCGTAGTAATGCTGCCAATGGCACAAGATCCCAAGGGGCTTGGTGATTCATTAGATATGGCTCAAAAAAGATTTTTAAATCTAGAGAGACGACTCCTAAAAGATAAAATACTTACTGATCAATACGATAATTTTATTGCTGAATATAATCCTTGGGTCACATAGAATTAGCGTCACCGACTATTGATAGCCTACTTATTACCTACCACATCATGTAGTGTTTAAAACAGATAGCATCACTACTAAAATGCGCGTTATATTTGATGCCTCTGCGACATCCAAATCAGAACTGTCACTGAATGACAATGTTTAGGGGCCCAAAAATGCAACCAGATAAATTTAAGATATTGTTGAGTTTTCGACTACATTGTGTTGCTTTAACTGCTGATGTAGAAAAAATATACCGGTAAGTGCTAGTATCCGAAGATGACTGTGATTTGCAGCGCATTGTTTATCGTTCGCAGCTTGAGGAACCTCTAAGGCATTATAAATATAAAATAGTCACATATTTCACAAAATCAGCCTCTTTCCTGGCCACACGTTGTCTCCATGAGCTTGGTGCGTTCGTTGAAAATACACCAATAGGCAGAGTCATGCGTCAGGACTTCTACGTAGATGACCGTATAAGTGGGGGTGATACTGATGAAGAACGCTTTGATATCCATAAGCAAGTTCATTCAATTATTGGTAATGCTGGATTTCCATTGCGAATATGGTGTTCAAGTTTGTCAACCTCTTTAATAGCCTTCCACATAATCAAAAGGATCCCAACTTTATGCTAAATATTACTGAAACTGAGGTGTTGAGCGCGTTGGGACTTATATGGTAACCATGATAACCATCTATAGATAGTTTTCGGTTTGCAATGAAAAGTTGGACTCCTCCTCAACATATAACTAAGCGCAATCTCCTATCAGATATAAACAGTGTCTATGATTCGCTTGGACTATTGCCATCAAAGGCAAGATCTTTGTATGGAGTTTTAAAATAGGTTGAGATGACACTTTATCAAAAGACATAAGATCAAAATGGTTAAAATCTTATTCAAGTTTGGTTACACTCAATGAATTGATTATACCAAGACTAGCATTACTACTACCTGGGGCTGACAGTAATGAACTTCATGGTTTCTGTGACGCATCCCAGCATGCCTACGGTGCTTGCATTTAAATTCGGTCCAGTAATCAAAGTGGCAATGCAGAAGTTAAGTTATACACAGCTAGATCTTAGGTTGCGCCAATCAAAACCACCACTATTCCTCGTCTTGAGCTGTGCAGCGCATTACTACTATCGGAATTGGCTGCAGAGGAGATCAAAGAAGAATTCTCAAATATAAACATTAAATTGTCTACAGAAAATATACATTTTTGGACTTATTCAACTAACTTGCATGGTTAAATAGTCTGAAACCACTTCAAGTTTATGTTGCAACAGAGTTGCACAGATAAATGAGCTCTCGTGTGAAGTTCAATGGCCATCATATACCTACAGCTGATAATCCTGCAGACCTCATATCGAGAGGAGTTGATGTTCAAGCTATGATCTCATCTGAGCTTTGGTGATATGGGCCAAAGTGGCTCAAGAAAGAAAAGTCCTGTTGGCATGACACACCAATTTTGCCATCAGAGTTACCGAAACTACGCAAATCAAATTAATTTTATCAACTACAAATAAAGAACGTCGACTACCACCAGATCATCTGCAAATCCAACGAGATAAGCACCGGAGGTCACTTCCATCTTCAGCAGATCGACGTACGCAACGTTTCAGAGGGTCGGTCCTAGGACCGAGCTCTGCGGGACGCCATAAGTCACTGACTTGGTTTCCCTGCGGTCGCGTACCAGGAGTTTCCTATCCGTGAGCCACGACCGGGTCATCAACACCAAGTACTCGGGATGCTCTTTGTGCTTAGCGCTTCATCAATCACCGGCCACTGGAGGGAGTTGAAGGCGTTTTCGACATCGAGAGTTACTAGAACGCAAAGCTGTTTCTGCCTTCCGTTTCCAGCCGCAACTTGTGCCGCCAGTGTAGTAACACTGAGGTAAGGTTGTGGTTACACTGTGGTCTCAGTAAAGATGCTTCTCCAGAATCTAAATTGATTAGGGGCACGATGAGCAAAGTCATTTGCGTCTAAGTGCACTTCTAACATTTGCAGTAAGAGCCTTTTCAGGAGTTTACCCGGGGTGTCCAGAAGGCATATCGGACGGAAGCTAGACGGGGAATCCTCTGACTTTCTGGCGTCTCTGTGCAGTAGGATCCGCTTAGCCTTTTTCCAAGTTGCAGGGAATGACAAGGACTTCAGTCACTCATTGTATATCCGGACGGTGTCTAGTGGGTGGGCCAAGACAACTTTCTTCAATATCTCGTTGGAGATACTGGAAGGATCACCGGCCTTGCCCGAGGACATCTTCTTGACGACCTTGATTAGCTCAGAGATCTTAAACTCAGGAACTTCCCTGAAGAAGACCAGTTGGTCCGTGCCGAGGTCAAAGGCTTCGAAGATGTCCCTCACCGCCGGAGAGGGCATCAAATCCCAGTCAATGGCTGGAGCAGCTGGGAACAAGTAATCTGTAATCATGCGTTCACGCCCCATTGAAGCGAGTCTAGTCCAGCCAATCCAAAACTTCTTCATAACGATCTTATAGGGTTTGCACACAGGTATACACCTGCAGGCAGAAGTTCTTCCACACTTTTTCCTTGGCTTTCCTAATCTCACAAGTCACAGCAGAGATCTCTTCTCATCTTTGAGTAAGTTGCTCTTTCGGTTACCGAGCCCTACGGACCCAGCCTTTTGAGGCAGACTTGATAGGCTCTCCTAACCTAACCTAACTTGATAGGCCCTAGACCTAAGCTCCGCAATTCGTTCGGACCACCAATAAACAGGTTTCTTATCCATAGAATCGATGGCCCTTAGGAACATCGAAGTGTTACAGGAACCGATAATGTAACCGTCCAGAGTCTCGGCTGCGTGGATAGCCGACTCAACGCTCGGGCAACCTTCCCATGCCGCCAAAAAAGTTGAATTGACGTATCTATGAAAGCTGGGAAATCTAATTGCCTCAAGGACCAGCTCGGATGGGTGCTACCTCGAGGAGTTTCCTGGGGCTATCCTAGCTGAAGGACAAAGGGCGGAGGATTGATCCGAAAGGATACGTAAGTGTGGTCGCTTAGGTTGATGTCCTCCAATGTCTCCCAATCTGAGATTCGGGCACCTCTGGCGGAGGTTAGGTTAGGTCTATGATGGAATTAGCTTCTCCCCTGACAAAAGTGGGAGTGTCCCCAGTGTTTACCAGGACAAGTCCCAAGCTGGCCACGAAATCAGCAAGGAGTTCACCCCTCGGGCTGTTTATGTGAGAGTTCTACTCCACGTTTCGTGTGTTAAAAGTCGCAATCTACAACGATATAAACGTTACCTCTTGCTCGGATATCTTGATCGAGATTAAACAGGAACGCTTCATATTCTTCAACAGGAGTGGAAGTACTCCAATAGCAGCTGAAGATAACAAGACCCTGGGCTCTTATCCAAGCGGAGCCCGTGCCGGAGCCATCGTGGACGAAACCAGCACCTGACGTGGTGCCCACGGTAGCCTTTCGGTCGAAGCTGAAGTGCAGTCTAATCCAGCCGTCTGTCCTGAAGTATGGCTCGCTCAGAATGACCTCAAGCAATGGCATTGTGCAGGAAAAGATGTAATTTTCTTGGCGTAGGTAGTCCATCGAATATCTTTGCACATTATAAGTCTTGTCTAAATGGAATGTAGTCAATAAAAATTCAGTCATCAAGCTAGACGAACTAGTATTCGTCATAGAAGATAATCAACCACTATTAAATTGGTGTATTGACTGAGTGACACAGGTTCATCCTGACTCTGATGACATCATTCGTGTTGTAACTGTTAAAAATGTACAAATAGTAAAAAATATAGCTTTTATCTCATTAAATACATTTCCTTATAACTTTAAATTATTTTTGAGATCCGCTGATCTTTAAAATTTAATGATTACAACTTTTATTCAGGTTTATAAATACATGTTTAATGTATATACTGTTGCGTCTCTTATGTCAACGTCGATTCATATATCAACGTAGAAAACGAAATACTAGTGTTTTTAAGTTAAATGATTAACGTCTTTATTTTAATACAATTAACTCGTACAAAAATACAATTTTATAAGCATAAGATGGATGAGCGGTGTTACGACCAAAGTCTGAAATACTGATAGACGAGACCGTAAGTGGTGTTACGATCTGCCTCTGAGCGTCTCGAATATCTCTAATCGTCTGCTCAGCTCTTGTCGTGGTCTCCCTTATAAATGGTTAACTGACAAGAGTGGTGACTGGGGAGGTGGCGACTTCCGATGACCTAAAGGAGCTCTCTAAATTATACTTATTAATCAGTTCGGCTCCTTTCCTGCGATTTCATCTATTCCGAGAAGTCCAGGACGTGTGATCAAGTCTTAATTGTTTTATTAAATAACACGATGTTCACCCTAACCAGCATAGGCGTAAATTGGGGGGGGGGGGCTTAGACCCCCAAAACAATGTATAGCCCCCTTTAATTTTTTTTTAAATTTTTCAACAAATTTCAGATTTTTTATTAAAGAAAATTATAAAATACACTATGTAATTCCTAAACAGTATATCCGATAAGTATGTGTTATAATATATACTTTAAGGTTCATGCATTGTTGGCGCATGAAGTGCTCACAATTTATAGGGCAACTTGGGCGCAACTTATAGTAAAATAAAATAGAATAGTGGACTGTATAGTTTTAATGTACAGATATATTTGAATAATAGTAACAATAATAATCACAGCCAATAATAATATTTGTATTTGTATATAATATTAAGATAATTATTTAAATGCAATGCACATAATATGAGCAAATAATAATAACAATAATAGCTAATGCATTAATAATATAATAACTAAATAGCAATACGCTATAAAATATAATGTTAAATAGCCAATGCACTAATAAATATAATATAATTAGTTAAGGCCCGTCGGCCGTGAACATATAACAAACAAAAGAAAAAAAAAACTCACTTTATAATATGTGAAAATTGATGGATTTTATTCCACGCGACCGTGTCGGGGACGTACAAGAACAATAATATTTAAGAACAAACAAAGAATATGGCAGCCAAGCTGATGAAAAAT